AAATTAAAACAGAAGCTAAGTACTTGATACTAAGTAGTAGGAGGAAAAGAAAAACATTATAGAAGTGCTTACAGCTCTATAAATTAGTTTACAATAGTTCTTCAAACTCAGCGTATGTACTTATCTTTATTGGTCTGAACCCCTTTTCTTTGCACACGAAGATCTTTCCGTCCAATGACCAACAGTTCTTCCATTTATTCTGCTTTGCTCGTTTACGCACCTCTGCAAATAGCCTTCTCTTCGCTGTAGTGAGGTTTTCATTTATGTAAATTGCTTTTTCGGCCTTTAAATCGTCGTTAAGACCTGCAATGCCTCTCAACTTTTTCTTGGCTTTGTACAGCTMTGACTTGATCTTATGTGACATAAAGCGAACTATAATTGGCCTTGGACCTCTCTTGACTCTTACTTTCATTCGGTGCACAATGTCAATGTCATCTTCTTCTATTTTGACACCAACCGCCTCTCCTAACTTCATTACTATTTCTTCAAGATCTTCTTCGTCTTCCTCAGAGATTCCATGAATCTCTAAGTTATATTTTCTTGTGTACATTTCCAAGTTGTCGTGCCTTTCTTCGAGGTCATCAGCACTTTTCATTAACTGCTCTTGGTTCGTGGTTAATTGTTGTACTTGAGCTTTTAAATCTGAGTTTTCTTTCCTTAGTTGTTCTACTTCATCACTATGGAATTGAACAGATTTTTTGAGGTCGTCAACTTCATTTCGTAGCACAGCATTATCACTTAAGAGTTGGCTTGTATTTCTTTGTACTTCTAAAAGAATAGTTTGCAGAGATTTAAGCGTAGGCTCGTCGTCCATTCTTAACGATTTTGCTTTAGGYGATCTTGATTCACTTTCTACTGACGAAATTGAAGGTAAATCTTCCCTGGTTCTTCGGGTCCCTGTATTATTGTGTTCATTCATGTATCTGGCTGGAAAATGTATTTAAAATTACGATTCCTGGCCGAAAGACCCCGGAGCTCTAAAAGTACGTGGTGCTCGCCATGAGTCCCATGCGGCTCCTCTCTAAGAATGATGAATATAATGTATCTATATATTGACTTATCAATTCATTCGATTCTGTTTTTAATAAATCTAAATTGAAGTCTCCAAGTAAATAGCATTCCTTTTTTTCTTTTGAAATTTTTTCTACTATAACAATAAAATTATTGAGAAAGTCCCGAATATTTGATTTTTGTGGTCTATATATCACACCAATGATTATATTTTTTGCTTTGTCGTTTCTTAGTTCAATAAAAATTGATTCCATCGATGCTTTGTCAGTGGAAAGATCATCTCTGGTTTTATAAGCAGTATCCTTCAATATATACATTCCTACTCCACCTCCCTGTTGTCCATTATCACGACCTTTACAAATAAATCATAGTCACTAATATTTATTAAACTTGAGGGTGAGTTTATCCATGTTTCTGATATTCCTATAATGTTGAAATTTAGATTTATTGTGTTAGATTTATTGCTTATTCCAAAGATTCAAAGTTTTTGTTAAGACTTCTTGCATTAACATATAATAATGAGAAAGAGTTTTCTGTAGAAAAATTGTTCGACTCAATTATTGCATTGAATTCATTATCTTCAAAATAGTTATCTTCAGGTTTTTGTTGTAAGTTGTTAGAACTGTCAAAAATGTCAGTGTATTTATCATCTAATGTAAAAGTTTTAATGTTGGTGGTATTTTGTTTGTCTATAGATTGAAATATGTTGGCGATGTCATTGTTTTTTAGATTAAAAAATGGTAGTTGGTTGGATAAATTGCTACGAAACAAAGTATTGCATCTATTGCAGATTTTTTGGCTATTTAGATTGATATCGTTAGAACAGGAACAATTTTTGCTATATTGCGAACTAGAGATGTTGGCTAATACGCAAATAGCTCGGTACGATTTTACACTATAGGCTACGTGTATTTCAATGTTGATAATCAAACGATCCATGCTTACTAATTTGCACATAAATCTTTTCTAATAAACATAATTAACTATTTTATAGCTAAAATATCAAATCTTAAATCTGACACATCATGTACTTGTTCATACTTACTAGTAATTAATAATCTTCTCAATAAAGTTTTCTAAATCTTTGAGATATCTCATTGATATTATTTTGTCGTCGTTCAAGCGTACAAAGATTGATCCATCTATGGTCCAAAGTTTCTTAAATTCATCTTCTGCCAATTCGTTAATTTTCTTGATTTCATTCAGTCTGCCTTCTGTCAGGTCTTCAGATATCTTGATTGTTGGCTTCTTGTCCTTCAGAAGTTTTCTTTTCTTGAGTATGTCCACTTTGGTATTGTGGCTGACAAATTTTGCGATAATCTGTCTAGGATTTCATTTACCCACTCTGTGTGACCTATCCAGATCCTTTTTAGATATATTTATGTCGAAGTTCTTTCTTTAGTAGATCTATTACTATCTTGTCAGGGTCTTCTGGTCCTGCGGTACTTTGTTCCACTCCATTGATTCGGATACTGTTGCGTCGTGTGTACTGTTCCAGATCATCTTTATTGTCATCTCCTTTCTTTGTGTCTTCTCGTATGTTATCAGTTTGGTATTGGAGCACTTTTAGTACCTCATTCTTGATTCCAGGTGCGATTTTCTCCTGAAATTCTCTGGAGGATGCATATTTGATTGTGTTGGACTCTATTTTAGCTTGTAGCGAGTGATTCACCCATGAGTCGAGCTTTGACTCAAGAAGTGGCCAGATCTTTTCGACAAACGAGTTGGCTTGGAATTCTTCATGACTGTCACTGTCATTGCATGTAGGATTTATTTCTTTCGCCGGTGTTCCCCTTGAGTCTTTTACTTTCCCTGGATGACTTCTATGCGGTGTGGACGGATTTGAAGTTTGAGGTCTTTTTATGGATGTCATCCTGATAAATCAATTCGATTTTACGATAGATGTGTTGTTTTAAATGTTGAGATAGTATATTTTAGATGCACGTCGAACGATTGTATACATTTTGATGGATTGTAACCTAAAATGTCATATCTTCTCGAGAGCTTAGAAAAGCGTGGCCATCTTAGTCGGCGATCACGTGATCACATGATGGCCCAAACTCAAGGCATAGTGTATACTCGTTCATCCAGGTAAATTTCAGTAGTCAAMACCGAGTAAACCATACAGTACACAATTCTTCTAGAGGAACCTCTCACACAAAAAAAACTGTGACCTTTTTGAAAACKTACAGCTTCGAGTAAGTTGTTAACAGAAAAACACTTTGCCTGAAAACGCGTTTGACAATTGGCGTGACATACACTGAGATTATAGCGTAGGCAGAGTACGTGGCCTTTCCGTGACATTAACGCTTAGTCCATACGCGCATAAACGAACTACAAAAATATTACGAGAGTAGATTTTTGATCGTTGTCAATCAACATCTGACACATCCACCTAAAATCAACTGTGATGCACAACAACTCATCGAACAACCTGGAAACAGTACATCATATTTTCCTATTAAAAGTGAGCTTAAAGAGAACGAGTAATAATAAATCACAAACGTTTACTGTTTATTGTTCATTAAAATCAATACTTTACCGTTAATTCTAAAGTCAATTTTAAAAACATTTAATAAGGTTTTCGCGGACTGGGTAAAAAAGATACCCTAAATCGTCACTTAAGCCGCTTTCGTATCCGCGCCTTCAGTTGCTTTCTTATTTCATCTTTTGATCAATTCTGTTTTCCAATCAAAATAAACTAAAATGGCAAAATACATCAATAAATAATRCAAATATATMTAATTATATGATCGCAGATGATAATGGATATGTGATCGCGGAATCATTGTACAAAACAAATCCTCTTTCACTCGAATTACTACTATATGTGCATTTTCTCCTGAAGCCAATAAAAGTTCCAGTTTAATTCGAACGATGGAAAATCGACAGGAAATTAAAAGTCAACAGTTTTATGACAATGTCAATTCTTGCGAGGCGATTTCCTTGGGTTTGTTCAGCCTTGTTTAATTTTTTCATTATGCGCTCAGTTGTAACATGACGTAAATCAGAGCCGCTATGATTTACGTCATGTTACAACAGAGCGCATTACGTTACCCTGGTTGCAGAGGCTTTTTTTTATTCTTTTGCTACTATGTTATCAAGTCGCAAAGCGGCAAGACATTTCCGTTAATCGGTTTATTTTTACGCTAAACCGATTAGCGGAAAAGCCTTGACGCTTCGCGACTTGATAACATAGTAGCAAAAGAATAAAAGACAAGCCTCAGGAACCAGGGTAGTATGACAATACATTGATTGCTAATTTTTCCGTCTGCAAAGCTACAGAAGTATTAAGTGACAGCTAAAAATTAACACTTACTGATTGTCATCTGTTATTTCTGGCTCATCCAATGACTGTCGGTATTGTCTTAAGGACACTCCAACTTCTGTGAGCTTCGTGGTGAACTCAATTTTTTTATCGTCTGCCTCAGGAATGTCGTCTTTGACAAATGTGTATTTCTATTTTAAAAGAAAGAGAACTTAATTTTCCTTGTGCTTGTTTTTATGACCTGCCTAATGATGATAGCAACAAAATGCAATAATCCTAAAATCACGTCTAAAGAGGCACAGCATTAATTACTTGGTCTCTTCAATTATAGATACGGGCATTTATATATAATTACCGTATGCTGGTCTCCTGGCCTTTTTACGGACTGTAATTTCCGTAGCCCAAGCGACTCCAGCTCTTCCAATACTTTGACTACCCGTTCCTTGTTGCCATATCCACGCCACTTTTTCTTTTTTAACAATGGCGTGACTTGTAAACGTTTTCCTGGCAGCAGTAATGTATGACATCTGATGTCTTTTGCTGGCGGAACATTCGAAACTGCAGCTGCCGCAGGTTGTACAGCTTCTGCTAGGACGCTCGACATTTCTTCCTCTAACGAAGATCGCGATGCCAAAAAGAATGYRTGGTCTCCACAGAGCTTTACAAACTTTATTGCAGCAGTCATGGCAACATCAGTGATGTGCTCTGGTTGGTATTCATGCCCTGATCCTAAGCTAAATAGAATCGTGAATACTCCAGCAACTCTTAAAATTTGACCTTTAGACTTGCTTAACATCGCTAGTAAAAAAAAATATTAAAAAAAGAAAAGACTAGACTAATGTGAATAGAACAGTGCACAGACTACATGCATGTGTAAAGTGGAACAGAACCGAATCAGCAGAAGAATTATTTCATCGACATCTGATTCCAGAGAAATACAGAAATCAGATGGGCTTTCCCAGCAAAGATTACATTATTTGAGTCAACATTAAGTCCCATTTTGATCTAACACCGATAGTTACCTGTAATCATATCGTCATATCCTGCAATTGTTTTAAGTTCTTTCTGTATGCTATTGAAAACTTCAGTAAACGAAGGGCAGCTTTCTTGGTCCAGTTCTAGTATTTTGCGTGATTTCGGCTCCGCATTCCGATCTTTCATAAGATTCACCAGAAGAGAGACTACAAGAGATTGAAAGATATTTTAAACAATAAGCTTCTTTGTTATTGGACACAATTCGGCGGTATAAATGATTCAATAATAATAATTTTATTAAATGAGGATTGTCTATCGTTAATTTTTGTTTGAGATAAAAGACTGCATTAACCCTTTAGGCCCTGTCACACGAGCGATTTTTTCTTGCAACTTGTGTCGCGAATTTTATTTTTGCAAGTTGCTCGAGCTATGTCACACGAGCGATTTCGGTTGCAACTTGTCTYGCGCAAAAACATTTTGCAAGTTGCACGCGTAATTTCAAATATTCGACCACGGATCCGAAGAGAGAAATGACCAAAGAAATTGTTTGCAAAAAGGCACGGACTCTTGCTGTATAGATTGTAGCACTTCGGCCTTCATAAAACTCAACTTGTTGTAAAATTTCCAATTACTTTGGTATTCTTGTAGATCATTTTCTCTCTTTA